CCAATGGTTATAAAAGTAGCCTCAAGAGACTGGCTCAGACTTAGGGATCTATTATTGTGGCAGTAGTTGTTAAGTTAGGGGATTCACTTCCCCCTTACTATTACATGATCTCCAGTTTTTCTAAAAACAAAAATGCCCATGTGATGGAGCACAAAACAATACATCCTGTTTTTTTTTCTTGTACAGGTGACTCCAGCCATTTCACCAAAGGTTAGAAAAAGGATCTTTCAGTAATGCTATTTATCAGTCCTTCTCATAAATTTTTCCAAGTACCGTTAAAAAATAATTGGTCTTAGAATTCCCTGAAGTGAAAAAATAAGGATTAGAACAATTGGTAACATCAATTTTTAAGGTAACTCCGAGTAACCAGATAAATTCAAATTGAGATTTTTCTCAGTGTTTCATAAAAACTGTGTGAAGTTTTCATAACACTGTTAAAGGAAGGTGTACAGAGATTTGATCTAAACTACTGATTGCTGCTGTTTCTCTCTCAGATTCCAAAACACTCTCTCTCTGCTAAAAACTGATATTTACTGAGAAGAAAAATAAACATGTTGAAAGTAAGCACCTTTAAATGCTCTGAGTTTTAATAAGGACATATGCTTTAGTGAGTGTCACACAGTGGATTAAAAAAATATCAAATTTGATTATTTAACTGTTCTGAAGCTTAGTTCATTACATTATGAGTAATTAACAAGACCTCATTTCCTACAAATGCAAAAATAAGAGCTGACAGGTATTAAAATACTTGGAAGGTTGAAAACTGTTGGCTAGAACATTTTTCTAATAAAGGTGAATCCTTATAAGCCTAACTACAGAACCTCTCATTACAATTTTAGCTTGGATAAACTGATATTGCTTTGCTTTGTACTGAAAATGAAGTCCTAAACATAATCACAAAAAAGCTCTTCTACAAAGGCAGCATGTACATTAGACTGCTATTCTCCAGGACTGGAATGAGAATAAACTTTGTGATCCTGAGTCAGGGGACTTACGTTTGAGTCTCATTTGGCAGTATTTTTCTGATCTGATCTTGGGTGAGCTGTCTTACCTACATCTTTCTTGCCACAAGAGTAAGTTAAAGTTACTGCTACTTCTGTAACTTTCAAGGTGGTATAAAGCTGAATTAATCTTTGTCAGAAAAGTCCCTGCTATGGATATATGGATAACACCTGAGGAAAGGCAAAGTGATTTTATCTGCATTAACTAAAGAGATCAATTTTGGGATACCAAGAAGCAAACGCCTATGTGACATTATTATTCTTGAGTTTATGAACAACAGGGAAAATGTGGAGACAAACGGTGCTTCACCGTCCTTAAGTGATTTCAGCCTGCTGACAAATCAGGCCTTTGAGGAAAGACGACGTTACATCCAATCTTGCTATAATTTTTCATGCATTTAATCTAACTGCCAAGTACTGGTTGGTTGTTTAAGAGTTGATTACGAGTCTCCAAGCATCCAGACAGTACTTTAGCATTCTGATGCTAAAGGGTTTAGAATCTAATTGAGACTTTATTAGCTGACATAACCTGGTGAATGGGGAGTGCTTGGTAAATTTATACCATTCAACCTTTTTTCACAAAAGAAGGTTGATGGTATTGAGGATAATAGAAATGGTCTACAGTAGTAGCGTGCCTGGGGACAACGGGGCCTAAGTCATTGCGGGGACACTGCTGCTAAGTCTGCAGAGAGAATAATGTTATAATGCAAACAATTTTCTAGAGGCTTTTTACAAAGGCCATACAAATTAACAGATTAAACCCTCCCATACACGTACCTGTGTGAAGGAGGTAGGTGTACCCCCTATTTTTAGAAAAGGGTTAAAAAGGTTTATGTTCAAACTCTTTAAAAGCTTCTGCTGAAATCGTGCCTTTAAGTATCTCATGCACTAAAGTATGCAGAGGATTTGCATATTAGTAAGGATATATTAGCTGTTTAAGAAGCATTGCAGAAACAATGCAGAAGAGTCAGCACATTTCTACACATATTTTAACAATGTCTGTTGCTCTGCAGTAGGCCAGAGGAGATCTGTGCTGTGCCAGGACTGGGATTGGAGTTCCTGACTCTTTGTCCTATGCTGTCTTGAATGAGGCAATCTCTATTTTGTGGCATTTTGCTTTTCTTGATCTTTTCCCAGAGCAAGAAAGGCAGAGTATTTTGGTCAGAAAGTCTAAACTGACTTCTGCCAAACACATTGTATCCTGTTGCTGTAGGCAACACAATTCAACAGCTTCATATTTTAGTACTTTTAAAGGTCAAAAAAAAAAAATCTTTTTACCTCCTATTCTTTCGTTATTGTTTATGTATTTTCAAATGAGTGCAATGCTGTGAAGAATAATCAGCATATTGCCAAATGTGAATAGCTTGTATTTCAATGGAAACTTAGTCTGGGAGTTTCACATTCAGATTTTCCACTGACATCATGAAAACAAGCTGAACAGACTTCATATAATTTTTGACTAAGTATTTCTTGCATGAAATCTAAATTTCCCTCTTCCTAGTTTTTTCAAATTCCTACGATTTAGCTTCATTACCATGACTACAAAAATTCAGACTTCTATAAATGCAAAGTTCTGATGATTACTTCCCCCCCCCCCCGCC